GAAGAAGGCAATGGCCCAGCTGGGGTCCTGAAAGCGAAATCCCAGGCCTTTGGAGGGCCCGTGGCAGGCAATGAGTGTTCCCATGTCTCAGTTGCGATTCCAAATCTTAGGCAAGGATCTAACCCTGCCGTTTAACCCCTGGGGTATTTATACTGCTGCTGTCTGGACAGAGGCACCTGCGCACCTGTCGGCGAGCTCGCGTGCCACTCCGCGCTGCCATTGGTTGCAACCGGAATTGAAGATGACAGTAGGAGTGCTAGCTCCGTCAGGCGGCGGTGACTTCACCGCCCACCCCGACATGATTGTACAAATTCAAGTGCCTTGCCATCGCAAACTTGATGCACGACGGAAATAGTCGCAAACAGTAAGAGAGGTGCATGTCAGAGAGTGGGACTGCTTTATTGGCCCACAAGTGAATTCGCTTTGTGGACGAGCTAAGCTGCCACCAGTAAATTAATTCAGACGTAAAATTCCAATCGCTTAGAAAACACTGGCGGATGCGCAAGATAGAAAAAAAATTCGGGAAGAAGGTTGTGAGTTTCCCCTGTGGTGATGGATTAGTCCGTTCGCACCCGGTATTTTTAAAGAAGGTTTTTTGGAAAAACTTTGGTTACTTCACACCTCGTACGCAAATATAATTCAGACATTTAATACCTTGCTAACACGGCCTCACAACGAAGGAGCAGGGGCCAATAATAGAGAGGAATGTCAGTGCAACTTAGACGGCTTGTCGCGATCTCTCTACAACGCACTACGAACGAAGCAGGTAGATTTTCTTCGGTAGGGAGCTAATGTGTATACCTACTCTGGGATTACTATATACGTGGCCCAGGAATTATAGCTGAAGTTAGGGTAAGGGTTACGTTTAAAGTATGGGTTAGTTTTAGGGTCATAGCGTCAGATTTCCGAATTGCGCGTCACCATGTACACCTAATTGGCGCACTTAAACGACTTTTGCATATTTTTGCGTCTACGTGTTACTGCTCGTTGTCCTTACTTTCCACCCCATAAAACCCCTTAATACTGATTTTTCCGTATTACAGTAGATCGTTCTCTATGATTCAGGACCTGGCTGTATATCCTTGCTCTTATTTTATTATATGTACAACACCACGATGAAGAGAAACCTATAAAGGTTACATTAAACTCTATCATCACTCTGAATCTGACGCACTTGTTATTCTAATAGGAGGGGGCCGTTATTTACTGGCTGTCAATGAGGCGAGCATACTTTGTCATTTCCCAAAGAAATCTACACCTTAGGGTAAAAGCGCTGCGAAGATTGGGGCAGATTATGCGCTGAGTTACTCGTTTTATTACCTACAAGAAAGCTGTGGAACGGTTAAGCATTTTAGTGCTAACACAGGTGGTTTCTTAAAGAAGAGTAGGTAGTTTGGCAGAACCTGTGGAAATTATGGACGCGGATGAAAAAAATCGCCTTAATACTTGAGTCAAGATAAGGTACCGCAAACGGTATATCCTCCTGATCGAAAAGCCTTCGATCATCCGACGATATTTAAAATGATGTTTGAAAAAAGCTGTAGCAGATTCCGAGATTATAAAGCAGAACGCGGAGTCTCGAGGAGATATCTATACATGTGCTTTGATAGGTAACTTCTAGCCTAAAGTGCAGAAGGATTGTTTTCCGAAAGTTCACCAGGTAGAATGGATAGTATTAAGATTCTATCACCTGATTCGGTCTTCGCGCAACAGTGTTTTTCTCTGAAACCTAGTATCCTTCTTTCTGAAACGAAAGCTAATCAAAGGAAAGGTACTGAGCCAGTTTATAATTTTCCCAGTATGGGAGAAAGCTCCTCGGTTACAACATACATACCATGTGTCGGACAAATCTGTTGTTTATACCTACAGTAGCCACAAACCCCCATAAATGTGCGCTCACAGTTACGCTTCACGAGGCAAAATAGTGGACTGTGAAAAAAATATAAAAATTGTCAACCGAATCCTATAAAAGTTCAATATGAATAAGTAGGGAAGGAAGTAGGTTGGCCGATGTCTGTGTAACAAACAGCGTGTCTTTGTAAACAAAAGTTTCATGGAATAGCATGTAAAAATCATAATGGTATAAGCCCAACTACGAGGGCAATCACCAGTGCAGTCGGGCGGGTACGAAAAAAACTACTATGAGTTCTTATTAGGAGGTAGTTGTTTGACTTTGGAAACTGCCCCGCCCAAAAATAGCTTGCTGTTTTCACGCTTAATTTTTTCGTAAACAGAATCAGTTTTCACTCTTTATGCTAACCAGACCAAGAAACAAAAAAAACTGATCAAAATTCTGAATTTAGCGAAAAAACAAAAAAACGTTAAAATAGTCTCAACATGCACCTTGTCATGTGAATAGCGCCCTTCACATGGTTAAAAATGATTAGTCTGAATCCTGCTGTTTTTCATCACCCGAACTGATCCAAACATTCCGTGATTCCGGCACTCGCGTTTTAAAACATGACAATTACATCTGGTTGGTTTGTTCAAAGAACCCCGTTGACCTTGGGCTGTACACTTTTACAGCCAGTGGTGCAAATTCTTTCGCAAGTTGCCTCTGACTAAATTGTGCATATTAATGTTACTGTTTGTTTTATTCGCATAAACTCAATACGTCCCTTATACCAAACGTTAAGAGCATTCATGCTTCATGTAAGTTGTGTTAAAACGCATTTGCAAACATATTTTTTTGCCTAAGGGAAGTGTGCTTTGGGTTCTAAAAACGTTTGTACATAGGAGGCATCCTTAAATCCTCGCTTAAATATTTCACTTGCAAAATATTGGACGGTTTCTACCTACTACGCTGTATTGGAAAGCCAGAAATCCTCCTCATTTAAACAGAAGGATATTTATCAGAATATCGTCGACAACCCAAATGAACATCCGAAAATTCTGAATGGCAGATAAAGAGGAGACATTTTGAGAAACAGCTTAAGATATAATTGTACAGAACATATGATGGAATCCGTTCGATTATATAAGATCAGTTCTACAAACTGATATTACTTACTTAATTGTGTATCTTAAAGTGTGGTTTACACAGCTGCCTAGAGCGACCTCAGATAAATTTGAGATTATGTTTTCTGCTTAGAAGCATTGAAACGGTTTATAAGTAACATGTTCTATTTGGGGCATACAGAAAATTTGAGCTAGTATTTCATACCGTAAGAAGATCTCATTATGACCCGACATTTCATAAAAATGGTATGTTTACGGTATTTACACAGGTTTTGAGGGTGGCGTAGTGGTAGGTACGGCTAGTTTCTGGCTAGGATACACGGTTAAAAAAAGGTGTAGGCAGTTATTCCATAACACGCAAAATGCCGCTTACAATTTCTTATTCAAATCTCATGGCCGACACTTGACATATTTACACCCAGCGCTATCTTGCTGCTGTAGTGAAGCATGTGCGAATTTATGGAAAGGAGAGAAAGAGACCAACCGCTGGCTAATTCAAGGCTTTAAGGGCTAAAAGTAAAAAAGGACGCTGTAAGTAGAAACGGAAACCCCCAAGGTTCCAGTTGAAAATATTTGTGAACCAAACGCCCGCTGAAGGGCTTTACTAGTGCTTCGATAGGTCATAAGACGGGTATATTTTTTGACATAAATCAGTTGACAGGCATGAATATACTATTAGTTCGAATCTTATTACACCACACAGGATTACATCGGAATACACCATAGTTAAGAGGCCGGTAAAATGATACTGTTTCTTCTTTCAAGAACAAAGGTTACAGATGCATGGCGAAACTTCTGACTGCTAATGCTCTTTTCTGAGGACGTGCTTGAGCATCAAAGGTTCTTCCGAAACATTTCACTGAGTATCAGAAAAAGCTGGCTTTCTCAAACCCCATTTTAGTCGTCATAACTCCAAGGCAGTCTTATAGGCTGTGTTGTTAATGTTACCTCATGGAGTTAACCGCGCGATCACGCGTACACACTCGCAAGTTGACTGTCTTTCAAAAATCACCTCTCCTTGCTCTTCTTGGGAGACTTGGTTGAAATTGCTTTTATGATCCCAGCGTCGAACGCAGCCCTCCTCCTCGATGCAATACAAAAAGCCTTACGTTAAATTCTAGGATGGAATATTATTCCCGTGGCCTAACTTGGACACTAATTACAACAACATGTCTAACAGTTATCTTATTTTTAACACTTACATTACATTTTTTAAATCTCACCGTAAACCTTAACCCTAACCTGTCACTAATTTTCCCGAATTTTAGCAGAAAGCTGAAGGTAGCATTGGCGGCTTCTGTTCCCATATGTAGCTGAGGACTAAACGTGAACGAATTTGCTAGACTGAAACTTATGCGTCTTGAATGCTCAAAGGATATTAGTATGACCTACAAAAAGCTGCACAAATCATATACAACAACGAAGATTATACTAGAAGCAATCGGGTAATCTACATCAACTTATGCCAAGTGGGCGTAGACTTTTAAACTACATCACTGTTTGATCACACTACAATATCCACAACCCACACCTACTTCTCTAAACGATTCAAGAACTCAAGGCAATTTCGAACGCATATATTTAATTTTTCATTGTCATTGTCCCGCTTTTCATCTTAAAGCAAGTCTTATAGGCCTCTACATATGTGTGCCCCGCAAAACTTCTAAATACAAACTCTCAACCTTTTCTCTGCTTTTTGCAGGAATGTATTGCTGAAAGTGGCAAACAAGATGCCTGACATGCCTGATCTCTATTCCCCTCTCCAGAGCCTTTTATGCTGGTAATGTCCTTAAATGTACAAGAAAACGACTTATATGATTACATGATGTGTATACAAACTCGATCTTTATGGCCAGGTGAATCGTGCTCATTGTCGTATGCTAATAATAACATTTACTTTAAGTGTCCATGCGTCCGCCAGTTCATTCACAATATTCACGACAGAAGTATGGAATGCTCCTTCAAGGCACTCTGATGCCGGAACTTGTAGAAGGACCACGTTCAAAGCCAGATACAACCACCTCAATTAGAAGGAAAGACCAACCCTGGAGCCCGATTTTTTTGCGGTCCCACCACCTCCTCGATCTGGTGAAAACTGAAATACTACTAATTCCCGGGAGTTCAAAAATGAAATGCGTTTTCTCACAGGGGAATAATAACAGTGTGGGCGCCTCCACCAATCAGCCTAGTAGCCAGGTTTGTTTCGTTGAGCTGTGTGGTTCAGTCGAGACCCTCGCCAGAATTCGCACTGCACAGGACAATGATGTGGTGGGCTTTCAGCTGAGTAAAACTCAATAATCAAATAACCCAGGTTCAACTTGTGGAGGCCGTAACTCTCAGCTTGCCTGAAGCTGACCAACAACGGCTAAAAGTCGAAAAGGGTCATCTCAGTCTTAG